TTATGCGAAGGCGTAACAGAGTTTTGAAATGCTGTCAATAATAAAATCTATGGCAAAACCGAAAAAAAAAGAACTGCTCTTTATCTTTATGTTTTTATTCAGAATTCCCTCTGCTTCGAATATAATGGAAGCCTTTTATTCACTATTCACAATACGGTAAATTCATAACGCACGATCCAGGACAATAACTCACAGATACCTTAAGCGAGGTTGTTTCACGCAAATCGGAGAATTGATTTCTAATTTAATTGAGCTTCGTTCTCAGCGTGTTCAGATCTGATCAATTTCTTTGTTTATAATATGTGATTTGAAACACAAATTAGTTCGCCTCGTTTTCCCAAAGAGAGCATATACTGGAAGGTGTAGAACGTATTGCTTTTAAGTTATGAGCAACTGCATACATTGTCACACAACATAGATTCTTGGAACTATGTACAGTCCTGCGACAAAAAAAAACGCAATTTGCGGGAAACTTAACTTTGTCCGATTAATTCGAAAGAGAGCGCTATTAAGTCGTTACGACTGATGAACAATAGATACGTTACGATATGCAAAACCACGAATACAAAGTAGGCGAACACTGTTGGAAAAATAAACTAGAAAAGTCAATTATGAAATTTGTTTGATTTAAACGGCCTCGTATTCTATGAGCTTTTACTCCTAAAGCAGGCACAGTTCGTTTATTTATTTATTTCCTAGAAGAACTACAAACAAATTAAAACTTACATTTAAGCTAATACTACTATTAGTAATAATAATGCTCATTAATTATTTGCACTAAACCACGTAATAAAAAAATTCATTATATATATTCATTATACACTACATTTTTAATTTATAACTATGGTTTTAATCGTAATAACAGAATCAGTACACTGATCAAAGCGGTAGTAGTTCCTTTTATAAAGCCTACACCGCAAGCTAAACATACTAAACGTTAGATATTTCGTACGGCAATGACCGAGTCTGAAAGGATGACAGTGTTGTAAAGACCGACCCGGAACAGATGTCTCTAGGTGCTTAACGTGGATACCTGCCGTGAAGGCTTAACCCCACGGTGCCAAGATGGCACACGGAGTGTGGAAACGCATATTCAACGCCCCGAAGAAAAACCTCGAGTTCCAATGGAGGTACGTATATGGGCGTGTCTCCCCCTCTGGTGAGAGCGAGGCACTATTTAGAACCTCTGTCGTTCTTTGGATCAGACATCCGGTTACTATGCAACTCCACACCGAGCCGAGGCTCTTCCCACGATTTAGGCCAACCATAGCCACCTCGAAACTCCCGCTATCGGTCGTTCCCGCTAATAAGCCAAAGCTGGAAGATTGCTTCGAGAGCTTCTGGCACACGTTGTACCGGATATAAAGCAGGAAAGATAAGTAATGAAAGAAGAATAAGAAAGCCTGCGGTCGCATACGACCTGAAAACTCGGTATGGGATGGATCCAGCCAACACAATGCGCATGGTCATTGCATTTTCACTGGGCGAAGGAGGCCTATCCCAACCTCTTTCGCTTAACAAGGGAATCGGCACCCTATGGGGATGGGTGAGCAAAGCTCAAACCGAGTTCAAACAACCATAGCAATGCAAGAAAACGGGTTGCCACCACAATGCCATACCGGATAGAGGACTAGTCTCTGATAAGACTTATAGAGCCCCATGCGGCTCACCCCCCAGTCAATCAGTGAAATCAAATAAACTATGAATAAACCCGCCAAAGCAGAGCTTAGACAGAGTTACTCAAACCTCGTCGAATAAGCCGGCGTTTGAGGAAAACACCAGATGCAAACGCGCTCAATGCAGCCATCCTCTCTCAGGAGTAGAGAGAGCTAGCCTGCAATCAATGCTACCGTATACTACCTTAACTCCCTTGGCCTCTAAGTCTCTGAATGCAAAGTACTCAGGGCGCACCAAAAACACGTGCTCTTAATCTTCGGACAGACTGCCACGTAGGCAAACCCTAGTTTCAGAACGTCCTCTTTCATGCAAAAATGCATTTAGAGAACCGGCTAAAGCTAAAACCCGACCGACCCGCAACAATGATATCGAAAATATTCAATATATAAGAAGAAAAAACCCAGCCACGAATCAATTTACCTATAAAAACTACCCCAATCAGTTGCCACCTCCTGACCAATGATAATAACCGTATCAGGTTAATTCTGTTTTCATATGACGGAAGAATTCTAGCGGCATCTCACGGCAAATCGCGTAAAGCAAAGAGAAGAGAAATTCTCTGAACAGACTCAATTCAATCAATTTGGCACTGATAATAAAGTGCCCACACAATGACAAAATATTCCAAAATCGAACGAACAATCGGAGCAGGCCTATGCCTTTGCAAGTATACGGGCCATTAAATTCTTTATCCCATCTCTTAATAAAGCCCCAAACCCACTTCACATTGTTAACGGAAAACTCAATGTGAAGGCTAAACTTGAGTCTGCAGTCAAATATCACACCCAAGCAAGTTACATTCTCCCCCACGTGATTGTTCATAGAATAGCAAGTAGGCAGTGGATACACCCAATAGCAGGACTTTCTTGCGTTTGCTTGCATGATATATTGTTAACAGAACACCAGTCATTTAAAGATGCCAAATCCACTTGCAGCCCATCAGCGTTAAGCACTGCATTAACCGCTGTATACAATTTCCCATCATCCGCAGACATAAGAATTTTAGAACAGCGGACACACGAATGAATCATGAATGAATTACATCTACTGCAGTCTCTAGAATTTGTGAGTTTATAGAGGAATAATAATACAATTAGCAACGTGTCGTACTTTAAGTCCATCTAAATTGAATTCATCTGAAGGAATTATATATAAATGAACTAAAATAACTTCAACAACATTGGTGTCCGATAACTTTTAATGGAATGACGACTCGTTAATCATCTAATAAATATAACGGGCGAAAATATGGGAAGCCAGTAATGAAATTGGAATCATCAGGGCGGCCCCATTTAGAGTATCAGCTGGGCATAGTACTTTATAGTGTTTTCCAGTTTAATGAAGCCATCAAAAATGATGAAATCGTAAGTTTTCAGACAGCAAAACTTGTCAAGGGAATATTTGCTGGTCTAACCTGGAATGTCCTATCGAAGTCAATGTTAAATGCAGACATTACTCCTTCCGATTAACACAGATTTCACAGATAGACAACTTGTTGTCTGGTTAGACGATGCTTCGATTCTTAAGACCATACCCAAATATAGGCCTTAAAATACGAAGCAATTTTTTCGAGATGGATTTGGAAAGTTGTTTGAGAAAGGTGGGAAAAAGTTGCAGCAAGTGACGAACAATACTTTGATTATTTAGTTCGTAGAACTACTGATTTATGCTTGTAATAGTTTAGCACGAAGTTTTTGGAAGAATGTCGTGAAAATTAAGCAAATAAATCGGCCATCGTACTGGTGTTTATCTTTTTTTTTATTCCGAAGTATGGGTGGCTTTAACATACTTTCTGGATATATGAAAATCTGCTGTGCTTTTAACTAGCCTGTTAAATTAAATTGTTTTCATTAATATTGATGAGCATCTGTGAGTTTAGACATCTTGGTGCCAAATTTCTGGGTTGGTATTACGATTGCGACTCTGCAAGAATTTAATTAAAGAGATGATTTTCTCCAATAGTGCTGTACGCACTTTTTGGTCTCAGTTCTAGAATGTGTGGTGGATGATCTCAGTTTCTAAAAAGTATATAAAATAATAATCGGGGAAAAACTGCTTGAAAGATTTTCAGTGTTCAGGGGAAAACATATGCGACGATAAGATCATCCTCGGACACTCTTTTATTTAACAAACATTCATCAGGATCTTGAACTGCGAAAACATCAAACTTACAAGAACAAAATAGGATTTTTAGAACTCATATGAAAATCCTTTCCGAGATTTCTGAAATTATATGAAACGAGATATCCATAAATTTTTAAATAGGCTTTTTATAGAGACGCCTGCAAAACCAGAAAACAAGTAACTAAGCTCCAGCAAAAGAACCAAAAAAGAAAAAAAAATACGAAAAAACATGTTTTAAAAATATTGTGAGGGTTGATAAGAGTGTTAACAAGAACTTTTTCAAATTTAATTTTCTTTCATTCCTTCTCTTCTTAAGATGCATATGCTGTTTAATTTCATTGAAACATAGTAAATACTTACAGCTGTTTTCGTGTTAGCTTTTTTAAATGAGCAACAGGTGTAGGATTATTTACAAGATTTTCGACGGAAAATTTTTTTTTTTTCTTTTTTTATCTTTTCGATCTGAAAGGAATTACAGTGAAAGAAAAAAATTTGACCTCAACTTCTATTATCTTTCTACTACTATTTTAAGATCTTCCGGTATAGGTTGAATGTATGACGAGAGCAGGTTTTACTTGTTAATGTATGGGAGTCTTTTTGCCATTTTCTTTCACCACAGGCAACTGCAGACGAATAAAAAAAAAATACAAAAAAAAGAAACCAAATATAAGAGTCGCAAATTTTTTTTTTTTCCCCAACTAACGTCGTTAATGATTTTAACACCTTTTTTGTTGCCATTTTTTGTTTGCTAAAATGTAATTTTTTTTTTTTTTTTTTTTTTTTTTTTTGTATTATTAACGGTGTTAAAAACTTTCGTTTACTTGTGAATTCAGCACCTAAACGTATATTAACTGTGTTATAAAGCTTGCAGCACAAAAAAAACGTCTTAATATATGACCATTTTGAAGAAGACTTTTCGAGTTGATGTGGCGCTAAAATGTGGATATGGTCTTTACTATCATCGCAAATGTGTGCTGCGGAAAGGCAAGCAGATTCTTGGCTCGAATATAGATAGAGGTGTTGGATAACGCCTCAATGTAAGCTTAAAACTTTCCACTTTTACTTGCGTCATATGCTTCAATGTATTGATCTTGGCTTTTACGAAAAATCACCCAAGAAACACGCCCAAAAATTCGGTTAACAATAAAGAGAATTTTTTATAAATGAGCATTTTACAGATATACACATATAGCACATACCTGCAAAAAGCTATTGAAGAGTCCTTTATCCATAAATTTTAAGATAAACATAAAATCACTAGAGCCTCCAAAATTTCAACTCTCACGCACTTGTTGCACATTAATTTTACTATTAAGATCAGTGTAAGTGATGGGTATGAAAAGATTCGTTATAAGCTTTATATAATATATCTTCAACTTTTTTATTATTTATATATTTATCTCTTCACACGCTAAAGAGACGTTGGCAGCGGTAACAGTAACAGCAGAGCATTTAAAGAGTTTAGTTAACTAAAACCACATTTAAAAATTGTTGTTGGTTTTCCTCTTGTATTTTTACATCACCATTAAGAATTCTGGTTGATTTAGAGAATAGTTTTTTTTTGTTTTTACTTTGCCTAAATTGTCTTTTACTTTTTTATTTCTTAAAAAGATTTTAAATTTTCTTTCTTTTTTTTTTTTTAGAAGCTTTACTTTTAATTATTTTAAACTTTTTACTTTTACACAGCTAATGCTGTCTTTTGGTTGTTTTTTGTTTTGTTTTTTTTTTTTTCAATTTATTACTATTTTCTTAATCCGTTCAATGACACTCTCCAGTCGGTGGTAAGACAGCAACTGATCATCACTGATATTTGGTGCGTTTGTAAGACTTATACAGAAAACCCATTTTTCTTATTCGCGTGTAATTGAGCTTTACCTTAATATTTAAAAATTCTTCTTTATAGCGTTTTCGTGCGGAGAGTCTCTCCGATCGTTTTTGTTAAGTTTTGCTTTCTTTCTGTTTTCATTTTCCATTCAAATCGTGTTTCTTTCCATCATTCATATTTTCTTTCCTTAACCAAATCATTCAAACAGGTATACGAGCGCAACACACTCGTGGTGTTTATAAGCTTTGCTCAAAAAACTTGTTGATATCTTATATTATTGGGGTCGGTTCCTCGCTCTCGTATCTCTCTTTTTAGAGAAACGTTTATTTTTTTTTTTTTCTTTTTCTGTTTGTATTATTATCTTAAATCGTCATATGTGAGCGCATAGGTAGACCAGCAGCGATTTTATAATACATTATTGGTGGTTAATGTTTTTTTTTTTACTTTTTGCCTTTTTGTTTTTCTTGTTTGCTTACCTATGCAAATTAGTAACGACACACCAACGCACGTACATTCATCCGAACACTTCTTCTTTCTTTTATTAAGAGATAAATTTCTTACCCCTTTTTTATCATATAAACATACCTGCGCCCGGTGGAAATACTCGCTACTAATACATATAGATATTGGTTTTTAGGTTGGTTCACCGGTCTATCTGTCTATTTTTAAAATCTACCACAATTGCACAAATAAAATCCAATATATGTCATTATAATCAGAGCTATTATTTCGATCGCACTTTTGCCTTCTGAATTTCTTAAATAGGACAAGATGGACTGATGATTTCCCTTAAAATTTTCAATCCCTTTTTGTTGTGGGATGACGTCACAACTTTTCTCAATTTTCTTTAAAGTTTGACTTTGTCAAAGCTTATCACCTAACAAGGAGCAGTACAACCCTCTGGGAGGTGGGCAATTGAAACAAACTTTTTAATCAAAACTGGCCTTCAACGAATGCTACATGTGTTATAGTTGGTTTGTGGCAGATATATACATCACCCACAGGAATTTTGGATAGATCCATCTATTAGTGTATAGCAAGTAATTCTGAATCGACCTAAACTTGTTTATAGGTCAGTGCGTGTTCAGTCGATATGTTGCAATTTTTGAGGTTTTTCTTTGAAATACCTGTTTGGCCGAAGGACTAACCTATAGAAAGTAGGACACATGTTAACACTTTTTCGATCACTTCACGTATTGTGAAAAGTCGTTATATGAATAACTGTGCCAAGCGAAGCGATAAAGGGCATTTAATGGCGGACCGTGGCCCAGCATCATGTTTTTATTTGTTTTTTTTTTTTATTTTTTTAAGTAAACTCTTAAATATGCTTGTTTATGTGATCGAATGAATTGATTTTTAGAATTTTTTGATTAGACTTTAATCAATTTTTGACGAATTTTTTCGATGAATAAATAATTCTTACCTGAAACGGGACAAATTTTGTTTTTTTTTTTTACTGATAAGTTTACAAAAGTTTTATGTCTTTCGGCGGTCGTTGAATGTTTTTTGACGATGTTTGTTAGATAGACCAGTTGAAAACACTGAGCAAGCAATTTGAGCAAGACCCCCTTTAAGGTATGCTACACCACTACGCTTAATACAGCTGCACAAGCATTTTCTTAATAATACGCCGAATACTGTACATTGTTACAATGTGAATGCGTAATTTTCATGAAAGCCCTCGTATTGCAGGATATTCAAAACGTCAACTAACATGGTCCAAATTTGACAAACTTAATTGAATTGTCAGTGAATTTATTATTTCCTAATTGCTTCCCTCATAACAAACCACAAATTGGTCTTTATCGCCATAGAAGGGCTTGCTTTCTTTAGAGGCCCTGCACATGGTGCAATCTAAAAAATAGACCTATGTGATCTAAATTCCCAATGGTTAATTCAGGGCCAAATTTCATCACAAATTAATAAAAATTACAACTTTTTAACATATAAAGGCTTACTTTTCATTAGAACCCTTACCATGAGTTGGGATCTAAAAAATTGACCGACGTCGTCCAAATTCGAATAGCGTTAATCTCTATGTCAAATTGTTATTATGAATGTACTTTGATGATGAAGTAAGGAACTTACAGCTTTTATTATACAGAGACTTTGTTTTCCGCAAGAAATTAAAAAAATTCTCCCATTCGATCCAAAGTTTTCATATCAGTTTCGAATGCCGATATACTATTATTTGTCGAGAAATTCTAAAAGATCCAAAATTTTTCCTTAGAACGACTCATCAAGGTAACCAAACTCTCCGAACCATTGAACTGTTCGTCTTTGGCCTAAAACAAGTCAGTATGCCAAAAATAGATATAAAGATCATAACGACGATCACAAAATTAATTTTCACCAAAAATTAAGGCTAATCTATTATTTTCGTCTCCTCTTGTTAACGATAAAATAAAAGCAATTGAAAAAAAAACAAAACTGAGAAAAAGCAGCCATCAAATTTTATTGCCGAACAAATGACTCAGCTCATTAGCTTTGAGAAACACAACTGGAGTGTCTTAGTTGCTAAATAATTAAAGCATAATTCGGCCTGAATGGGATGATCGTGGGTTTAAATCATAGGTGCGGTAGCGTCGACAATAAAACCGATAGCCATAGATGTTAGGGCTTTAAGATTTTAGTCTTAAACAAATACTAATAATAATAAATTAAATTAAATTTGAAATAATATCAAAACTTATTTTAAATCCGGGTCTTCATATCTAGTGGCCAAGCCAAGTAAGCTTGACGCAACTTAAGAGTTATCCTAAAAATTCTTTTAACAATTTATCATTTTCTAGCAAAAAACCATTTTCAGAATCGATCGAACCTTGTCCGCCTGCCTGTCCGACCGATGACTGCTCACATATACACAGTCCACAGGTAGCAATTTCTTGAAATTTGATACACCGGCTTGTTTGGGTCCAAGAAGGTTTCGATCGATTCACTTTTTCAACGACTTCCCATATAATTTCTTATTTCCAAAAGTAACTAGTAGGGCGTTATGTTCCCATATAACGCCTTATTTTGGAAAACAGGTGTATGAAAAAATATAAAACGTTATGAACCGACCACTGTAGACCATACTGTTTTTACTTGCGTTTTTTATTGGCTTAAATGATTCTCCAAGCAATTAACAAATGTTATATATAATAAGCTGGTTGTTGTGAGGAGCAAAATTTTAGGCAGTACGAAAATGTAACTTTCCGAACAGCAAAGGCAATTTTTCAAAACGGTTCATAGCAAAGCTCCAACATTTTTCATTCGAATTTTTATCAACAACTTTTGAATACATTTTTTAGTAAAAATGCGGGAAATTTCGTATAAGATAATTTAAAGTTTATTTATTGAGTCTTGGTTGGTCGAAAACTGGCCATTTGCGCACAAATAGTCGCCAATCCAACAAGAGCAACTTTTTTAAAATACCCCTCAAACCTCTCTAGCTTCCGTTTTTAGATTCGGATTTACATCACAATTACACAGCGTTCCGCAGAATCGCTTACGTTAGAGGTTTTCGCGAGAATGGCTCCGGTGTTTGCACAGTAACCATATTTTGTTTTGTTTGAACATAGGCAGCTTAACTAAATCTCTCGAATATTTTCGTTTTATTGGTTTTCCTTTTATCCCAAAATAAAAACGAGTTCTTTTAGGCTTTCGTCCCTAAAGCCTATTGAACATTGAATTGATAAAATGTCTTTTCTTTTGTATAATAAGCAAACAATAGAACATATTTATTGACGGAGCACTATATTCTCTTTCAAGACGCAGAAGAGTTTTTCTTAAATGCCTCTATACAATAAAATGAAGATGGAATTAAATGTAATTTTACAACATTTTTTTTTCTTTTCTTTTGTGTTAGAAAAAGCTAAGAACAGCTAAGCACAGACTCACAGCGGAGAAGGGCTTATATTCATTTGGTTCTTTCCAACTATAACTCTAGTTGCTTTCAAAGCATGGCAAAGTCTGCTATTCAAACAGTATATGCTTTAATAACGCTTCCAGATAATGCATTTTCTTCTAAGCCAAAATATGTGTTTCTCTGCAGCAACTTTATAAATATAAGCCGCTTACAGTCTACCTTCAACCGTGCCAATGAATGCCTTGTGACCAGATTGACGTTCGTATTAGAGGTTTGCGAAAATTTTGATCAGCGACTTCCATAGGTAAAAATGGTAAAGAAATTTTGGAAATACCAGATTAAATTCCGTGATTTCGATCTTTCTCTACCTAAAATGACATTTTTCCACATAGTATGATGATTAAGTTATCTACTGTGTACAGACGCTAGATCGTTTTGCTTTTTTTCCGTAATGTATGTAACACCCAAAAGGAAGCCTCAGAGATCTTATAAAGTATATACATTCTTGATTAGCGTGAAATTCTGAGTTGATTTAGCCCTGTCGGTCTGTCTGTGTGGTGTGTGTTCTTGACACGCTGAAGATATCGACTTCAAATTTAGTAGAAATATAGGAAGTTTCTGCACGCAGGTTGGTATTGAAAAAAAGCCAAATTGAAAAATTCAAACAAAATTTGCTTTGAGTGGCCCTACACGCAATGAATGCCCTGTGTAGGCTTTCCTGTATAACCGGATCAAAAGGAGAAAAAAAATGTGAAAAACTTAAATAAGAACTAAAGCGCAATTCCTAGAGAATCAAGGTTTGTGAACACTAGTCCATAGATGGTTCTTTGCGAAATTGTAATAAACTAGTTGGCGACCTAAAGCAACATGCCTTACAGGGCTATAAAACTCAAGTGTCACCGAGGTCGACCTTGTTTTAAAACTAATATATAATGTATTCTTACGAAATTTCTGAGCATTTTTTTTTTTTCTTTTAAGATTCTAAGCGAAATAAGTATGCGATGATAGACTTTTCTTTTGTTTAGGCTAACACCCATTTTAAATACGATTCATATTATAAATAAATATCGTCGATTTCATCACATTGTTTGCCATGTTTGCAAAAGATTGTATCTTTATTTATAACTCTTTAGAGAAGTTATAGTTGATACAAGACGAATCTTTGACACCCATTCCCATTGCCTGCAATCGAAGAAAATTAAATTAAATGCTTATCTGGATTTTTTAAAAGATCTTTTCTAAAAACGAGGATGAGACAGAAAACTTGACCAACACATTTCGAATTATTGATTAATCTCTCATTACAACATTACGTCATCGGAAACATCTTAGTCTGACACCAGTAACATGCTATCAGCATATCTATGCCGCTGTTGACACCTTTTCACGCTTTATGAACTGCGTGTGGCCAGAGTTATTTCAATTAGTGCTCGAAATCTTGGGAAATTATTTATGAGAAAGCCAATGACTGGATCAACACCTCATGCGCTAAGTTTCTAGAATTATTTGTATGGTTTTCAATGAAATGATGCTTGACTTCATCACCGTGGAACTGAATTGCGAAAACAATTTTTAGGCTCAGTTGAAGCTGATTTCTCAACTCCAAAGCATTGAAAATCAAGGCCGAACGGATGCAAAAATTCGCAATGAAAGCCTAGAAAAATTTTGATTTATTCATTACATATATAGGATTATCTATTTTATGGTTCCCACTAAGGCTTCTGGTTGAGATATGGATGGACTTTGTTTTCTCTCTCAATTTACTATTTGGATTTTGACATTGCTTGTGGAATATACCGCATACATAATTGTGCAGCGTACAGAAATTGTGAAAACTCTTATTACGAAAACAATGAATTCTCGGTTACGTTTCGGTATCAAGCTCATATTTGATTACTTGTTCGATTACTAGTTAACCTGATGCTAGTATGAATTATTTCTTCTTTGCTGTAAAAACAATATGCATTTAATACTCCTGAAGGACTTTTACCTGCACAAAGACAGCTTTTGGGTATGGTTTGGGGGCTGAAAAGGGCATTACAGTTACCCTCAACCGAAAAGACTACAGAAACATGATAACTGTGTAATTTTCCAAAGTCCTGATGTAAGTTTGCCAAAAAGATTAGGCGACATAAGTCTATAGGCCTTTTTATTTCGGGGTTATGTTGGAACATTGGCTAGTTGAAAAAATAGCCGGAGAAGTTCCAAATTTGATACAATTAATTAATTAATTTTTTTCTGTTATGCTATAATTTTCAGCATGAAGCATTAAAAATTACCTATAAACTTCAGTTTTCGTTGAGGAGTTTAAAAAATTGCTCCAGCCCAGTCCAAAGTTTTCATACCAATTTCGAACGCTGAAATAATACTACTTAGCCACTTTTCCCGAGAAACTTTGAAAATTGTAATTATTTTCCATCTAACGACTTCTCAAAATAGGGCATCCATGGTCGAAAAACTGGATCGATCCGAGTCATTTTTAACAACGTCCGTGGGTCAAAACAAGTCAATGGACGAAATTTAATCAAAATATCTCAAAAATTGCTGCTTGTAACTTGAACACAAATTTATATTGACGGATATAAGACGGACGGACAGGCTTAGATCAATTCAGATTATGATTGTGTATCGATCGGTATAATAAAAGGTAGATCTATCTTATCGCTTTCATGCATCCACACTAACTTAATATACCTTGTACCACAAGTGGGTAGTAGGGTATAGTGATTAAGCGATTTAAAGAATAAAATACAAATAATCCAAAGATTGGAATTTCCGAAACGAGATGCATAGAGAGTTGTCGTTAAAAATGTCTTATAGAAAAAGCGTTTATGGACATGAATAAATTTGATACTTCGAATATATTACTTTTATTAATTTCCTATGTTAATGTTTAATCATTTCTAATTTATTTATATGTTAATATTTACTCAAAAAACGTCAAGTTTTGGAAATTCTCTTTTTCATAACTGCACTTACGCACTCCGTTAGACATGATTCTAAGAATATCCGTGTTAATTAGGCACATACTCTTTAACTCGTTTCCATACATTACATCGAAGGTATACTAACGTCGCTGAATGTTTCCATTAAACAACAACACAGGGATGGGTACATGTTGGGCTTAATTTGTCAATGTCGGTCCAAGAAGCTATGTATGAATTTTAAACCTTTCGAGGCTCAATATTTTTTAAATTATTTAGTTTGCCTCTTATTTTCGGCAGTCCGAACAAGCTGGCAAAGTTAATATACCCTTCCACTGTTGGTTTGAAAGGCCGTGTGCGTCGCACAGTTATATGCAAACCAACCAGAGAAATCATTAAACGAAATAAAAGAAAAAACATACAATTAGTGGTAACTTGAACTCATTGCCGTAGAGAGAGCGCAGCAGCTCACGTAAATAAAAACAAGTAACACAGCAACATATACATAAGCAATATTGTTTTTTTACCTGTATATCTTAACACAAAAATGACTGTTTGCTTTTTTCAATTTATAAATATACATACTTACGCATATATGTATATATATATATATATATATATATATATATATGTGTGTGTGTGTATGTACATATATGAACGTATATAAAAATGATCGTAGAGAAGAGATGAGTAAACAACACGAAATGAAATGAAACGAAACTATGGCGAAGCTAAACATTAACCAAATAGCCAAACACATCAAATTCAAACCCCTCTACTCTCTACTCCATTATCATAACGAAACAACATTAAACCTAAAAAAAGAAAAAAAAAAACGTTCTCATAAGTGGTTTGTTTTCGCTTTATGACTATTGACTTCTCTTCTTGGCCACAAAAAGTAAAGTACAAACACAACAGCACAAACAAAAAAAAAAAAAACGATTAACAGCCTACATACGTGTTTTCATATATATATACATAGTATATATATATATATATATATATTTATATATACGTACAAATACCTACACGTTTTAAATGCATATGTATATGTAAAGATACTTACATGCATATAAATGTACTTACAATGCTTACACATACCTGTTTTGTTTGTTATCCTCTTCCCACTTCGCTTTTCCTCTTGTTGGCTTCACGGTTATGTTACGTTTAATTGTCAGACATGAAACGGACATAAAACTGGTGGTAACCGCTTGTAGATCTTTCAAAAAAAAAATTTTATTTTCCTTTACTTTTTCAAATTTTTCGCTCAATACTTTTCTTTTTCAATTTATATAAATTTTTGATATTTTCTTAAAAGTAATATCTTTTACTTTTTTTACTTCTTCTTCTTCTTCTTATAGGCAACAAACACTTTCGGAATAAAGATGATTATGGTTGGAAGAGAATTATATACGGTTAGCTATGTAATTAAGAATTCTCACATTTAATTACTAATCTCAGATATTTGTCGTAATCTTTAGCGCTTATTAATTAATACTACACCATAGAATAATCACGATTACAACTCCACGAACTCTCTGGGACAACTGAGAATCGTTATGAATTTCAAATTCATACAAAACTGATATTACCTGAATAGCAAGCCAACAAACAACACATACACACTTTCATTCAAAATATTTAACAGATACAGGTGTAGGCTTGATAATTTAATAAACATACATGCACACTTTTGTAGAAACGCACGCATACAAATAGAAAAGCTACGCTCTTTAAATGTTTCGTGAATATCGCAAAGTGGTTGATTTTAACATACAACAGGTGTGGTGTATTACTAAAATATATGTGACGGTAAGTAATGTTATTTTGCATATGAGTTCAGTTTGTTAGTTAATGTGCGATCGTTAATGTTAAATGCAGAGAAATAAATTCTACTGAAAATTATAAAATTGAGAATTTAATGAGAGCATCTATTAAAGAAATTAATTTTATATCTTTTCCTTTTTTTGTTTTTCTCTTATAATGAACTTACTTCATGAATACAAAGGTTTTGAAAAATTTGCTTTTTTGCTTTTTTTTTTTTGCTTTTTATTATAAAATAATTTCATTTTTAAAACTTCTCGCCAATTCCTTGTGCGGTAGAACAATACTATTTAGCAATATCTTTTCAGAAGGCACCTGCACAAAACAACCTTTTAAAAGTAATAAAAAAAAAAAAATAAAAAAAAATTGATATGTAAAGGAATAAACACCTAAATAATAAATTATAAATAACATACCCAGTATAGTTATGGACGGATTTAATTTTCCCTCTTTGTTAAAGAGCGGAGGATTTTCCATTTTCGCAAATGGTTTATTCGGATCCGGATCGCTAGGTGTACCCTCTACACGAGACCACTGACCTACTACAGAACCGCGACCAACTGAAAAAGAAAGAATAAATTAACAAAGAACGCCTTAAAAAAGGTGTAAAAGGAAAAATTTGTCTATATCATCCTTTAATGGTAGATATAGAAGAAAAACTACTCCGTTTATTCGTTCATTTCATTGCGTTAATCAAACTTCAAAACATTTTTCTCTTATTATTGCTGTTAATTCACAATTGAACGCAAACATGAACTTGCAAAAGGGAAATGAAGACGATACCCAGATGGCTTACACTGGCTATTAGAGTAGGAGGGACAGATTACGAGGACGCTATCATCTCAAGCCAGCGGCAAGGTAAATAAATAATTAATTAATCAATATCTTAAAGAACTTCCGTTTGCATTTTTGCAAAAAAGATTGCAGATCTGTGGCTTTCTTTAAAACAATGTGGCAATATTTGTTCAAGTGCGGTACAATTGCTGCTCTGCTCTGTTTGTTTGCTACGTAAGCAACTTTCTAGTCAGAGATAGACAAACCCCATTCAGTTCAAGGCTAGGTGTAGCTTTGATTATTGACAAATGTTATATATATGCGTATATATATATATATATATATATATGTATGAACGCGACCTATCAAGACTCTATATTTACTAGAGTACCGAGTAATTTTTATTTCACTAACACAACCACTTACCGATCGAATGCAATATTAATGTATGCTCTTTAATTAGAGCATTTTCCAGTACTATGGATTCACGTATGCGTACCCCAGCGCTTATAGAAACACCTGCGCCTATGGAAACGTTCGGACCTAACTGACATTTTCAAATGTCAGAAAAATTAGCAAACGTTTGATGGTAAAGGCACAAAAACTTACCACAGCGGTATGGTGTACTGTAGCACTAGGATGTATATAAACGTCAGGAAAAATCGTGCAAATGAGATTGCCGTCATCTTCACCCCGCTTTACACCCGAGTTGGCTAAGCGTTCCGGATGGGTCTTTTTATACAATTCTAAAATAAAAAACATTTTCTTTAAAAGCATAATTTATTGTTTATATTATATCTATTTACCTAGATAATGCCTGTTAGCATATATAGCAGAACCCGCAGCCTTTATTTGTGACCACCAACTAGGCACTGGCATGGCATACAATTGGTTAGTACCAGCCAATGGAGTTAAAACCTCTTGCTCCCAACGTATATGACCTTGATCTTTTCCATTGCCATTTACATAGCTGCTGAATTCCTGCACTTTGGAATGAAAAACTTCTGCTAGTTTGGCAAAAATATGTAAGGAGCACACATACACTCCACAATTGATAAAAGTCGATACATATGAACTGGGCTTTTCCACATAGTGTGACACTGCTCCCGAAACACGATCAAAAACCAAACATCCGTAGTGTATCGCTTGTTGCCGAGCAGCTTCTGTACTCATAATGGTAACCAAGGCTGATGCAGGCCGTTGATTGTGAAACTCATACAGATCTCGTAAAGGAAAATCAGCACAAACATCACCGTTAAGTACAAAGAATGCCTTTGGATTTCCGGCTCGGATTTGATCGCGAAAATGGTACATACCTCCCACGGTACCCAAAGAGGTGAATTCTTGCAAATAACGTATATTTATGCTGTAGAGATTTTGCAAAGTCACTACAAAATTTTCCATTTCTGCCTGTGGATAATAACCAATAATAAGAATTTCCTTTAAATTTGGCAATTGTACACAAGCTTCGATGTGATGTTGTATGATAGGACGGCCAGCTATGGGAAATAATGGCTTTGGCATATCCAAAGATAAGGGGCGAAAACGCGTTCCTAAATATTTATTTGTTTTGAGAGAAAAATAAAATGAAAACAGAATAAAAGATGTATACACATATGATTATGATACCTATATTGTAGTTAAGTACGTTAATAATATTAATTATTAATATATTTGAACTTTTTTCCACCATAACTCAGCATTCAAAAAAAGATATTTGGATTTTTCATAACCAAAATCAAAATTGATTTTATCATTAAATAAATAATAGTGAAGAATAACAAGAAAATATAATCTTTTTAAAAAAAATTCAATTTTCCTTTTTTGGATGTTGAGTTGGGATGAAGAAAATTCAATTTTGAATATTGCAGAGTATGGTGGAGGGTGATGATTTCGAAAGTAATCCATGTATATTTGTCGTTGGCAAAAGTAACGGTCCGCGTATTTGTTGCATGCATTTTGTCTATCTAAAGAAGAATTTCAAATTAACTTACCCTTTTGAGGACCGCCCACTAAAATAACTGCTTTTAACATAGTTTTATAGTTTTAGCAAATACCAACAAGACGTAATTCTTTTCTGAGCACAGAAAAACAATAAGATAATAAAGCTGAGACCGGTTAACTACGATCAGCTGTTTTTTAAAACAGTCACCTTTGTTAAAGGAAAAAAGTGTTTAAAAAATGTGGCTAATGTTCGTAAAAGAATAATATTGCGCTTTTAAACACAAACAATGTGAAAGATTACTTTTGGTGAATACGAAATTGAAATAATTATTTTAAGAAAAGTTTTTAGATCTAATTAAAAAGAATTAATTTTATTTCAATTAAATTCTTTACAAATTTCTGGAAATATATTTCAATTTCCTTGTTGTTTGAGGCGAAAAAGATATAAATGTATTGACACATCTTTGTCAATTTCTCATGAACACTTTTGAATTTCGACTGATTGATTTAAAATTTGTTTTAAAATTCCAAGCCCAAAAAAGTTCAATCCATTACTATAATTATTTTTATAATTATGTTTTTTTTATTACAGCAATTGACATTAATATTATTATTATATTGGTCGTTGATTATTATAGTTGTTACAAAAACGGAAAACGGAACAGTTTGCAACAATATTGGCACAAACCAATTTTATTATATGCGAAACCGTTATATGGTGTTATATTTCATAATATATATTTCTGCTTTGGTTTCAGATTTTGTTTGGATTTCGGTATCTGTTTTGATTTCCGTTTCCACATTTTCGTATCCGTCAGCGTGACTGCCAATGTTATGATTCCAAAAATCGAAAGAACATATGTCTCAGACACTTTGGACTAACGAAAACAGTCCGCCCCGCGTCATCATTTATACTTTGATGAAGGACGCATGCTTTATCTGCTCGTAACTTAGAACTTCCGAAATAACTTGAAAACTTTCCATGCTCAGTTAAAACTTGCATTAAGAAAATATTTGCTTCGGATTTTCTCCTCGGGTCAGTGTTTGGCATTAGAATGCAGATCCACTTGCCTTTCGAACTATTTTCTCACCATTGATGCCACTCCGTTAATTCCGAGCGCTATTTTTAATTTGCGGATGATTTAATTGCCATTTTGATCTGGATATTAAAAATTGTATGGCGAAAATATTGCTACAGAAATATGTCATCCTGTTTTGCTTAAAAGAAGCAGAAACGATTTATTCAGCTTTGATTCTATAAATATGAAATATAAACGAAATGTTTAATCTTATATCCACACCTTCATACAACTCTGAAATTGGGGACTGGCACTTAAGAGTTCTTATAATTTATACATAAACTCAGCAACTATATTTTAAAGTCGAATATATACTTTATTTGTATTATCCTTACATATATTATTATTAACTAATTGTGCTGAGAGGGATTTTATAGTCTTGCTGGCATACAAGAATTTTAATTACTCTTAATAATTGTTATTGTACGCACACTTATTATTGTTAATGATTGTTAAAAAACCATTAGTCATTACCCATACGCATTGAAGTTTAAACAGTTCATTGAAACACTGCAAAATCAGTTACTTTTACTGATAACCCAGCTGCAGACAAATCATTCAATATCTTTTCAACACCTATATAGAATGAAAAAGCGAAAAAATACTGTCGCATATGTAAACAAAAAGCATATGTGAGGCTAAATTTTATAATGTTGGAAAGTGTCGGAATTTTTAGCTTATACGTCGAACTGCTGCGTAAAAAGGCATAACGATGTAAAAATCTCTAGGTGCCGAATAGAAAATTATGAACTGTTCCATATTTTAGTGTTATTAAATGTTTGTAAGAAATCTGCTAAATAAAAAACACGCAGCAAAGCAAATTTTATTCTCAATGGAACATCCATAAAAACACACAGCAAATCAAATTTTACTCTCAAATATACATTCTTACTCTCAAAAGTACTTCCACAAGAAACACACAGCAAAGCAAATTTTACTCTCAAAAAGACATTCTTCTTCTTCTTGATATAAAAAAAAAAAAAATATATTAAATTTTTTCAGTTCAGTTTATTTTTTGTCTTATTTCACGAAAAGCATTCGATTTATTTTCCCAGCTAGTCAATCGATTTCCAAATAGCAGAAAATCTAAGTATTTGATGAAATCTAAATGTAAGTACGTTTTGTTAATTATAGAGTGCTTTTAAACTACATAAAATTAACTACCTACATATTTATTCGCTTATGTTGCGGATCTTGCGGGTGGTATTCTGCAGTCGAACACCACCATCATCATTATTAGTTTACCATGGACGTGCTGCCAGCGTCGCCAGAATTAATGGTATGCCAGGCGTTACGAGCAGCCACTGATACAAATGCTGAAGTAGTGCGAAAAGCTGAAGCGCAGTTAAACGAATGGGAGAGTCAATCAGGTTTCTTCGTAACACTAACACGTCTCTGTTTATTGCCCCCAAATGCAACATCTGCGGAAGCAGCAATAAATCAACAGTTGGAGAGCAATGTGCGTTGGATGGCAGCGGTTTACTTGAAAAATGGTATCAACAAATATTGGAGGCGTGGCACTCGCCATGAACTACCAAGCGAAGAGAAGCAACAGATTCGTAATCTTCTCCTAGGACATTTTGCAAATGAGCACGTGCCCCAGGTGGCCCTTCAAATAGCCGTACTAATGGCCCGTATAGCCCGCATCGATTGCCCCACAGAGTGGCCTGAGCTTTTGCCAGACCTGCTGAAACGCTTGGAAGCATTTGTGTCCAATTCATCTAGCGAAGTTTTTCAAACTAATCAACCACAGTTATTGTTATTGACATTGCACCATGTGATTAAATCCTTAGCATCACGTCGGATGATGAGCGATCAGCGTGTTTTCGAAGAATTAACCGTCAATATATTTCAGTTCATTTTTCAACTATGGGACACACACATCAATTTGTTTTTCCATCAATTGAAAGAAGCGCCGTTAGGAGCGAAAACCACATTAGAGAGATCGGTCTTATGTGCCCGCTTGCTGCGTAAACTTACTATTTATGGCTTTAATAAGCCACAAAAATCGGAAATTTGCCTACGTTTTGTGGAAAGTCTTTTTGAACGTTTAAAACAATGTTTAAATTGCCGCTATGAGCTAAGGCAACTGAACGCCGATGAACAGTTAGTTGCTTTGCTGGAGAAACTTATCTTAAAGCAAATGAAAACTATATTAGAATTTCAAGAGGCACACAAAGCAGCTTTTAAGAAATTTGTTCCAATAGCTTTGCAATTTAGCTTCGATCATGTCTTCCACTATAGTGCTTTTCTGATATTCACGGACAATGTCATCAATTTTCGTCAGTTCGCTATACATTGCATTAATCTGATTAAAGGTATAATGTCACCCTTCTATTGGGTGCGTAGTAGTGGCTACGCGCTCGAAGACGAATCGGATATAGAATTGCGAACAGCTTTAGAAGAATTCTTCACTGAAGAGCGTATTAGTTATATAAGCGAGAAAATTATTACGCATTATTTTTTATTGACGCAAATCGAATTGGACCTATGGTTGGAAGATCCCGAAGAATTTGCTCAGGACGATAATGGCGGCGACAGTTGGAAGTATGCCCTAAGGCCTTGCGTAGAAACTTTATTTGTCGCCTGTTTTGCTAGCTATCAGACGCAAATGTCAACAGAAGTTTCAAGATATATACGAAAAGCTCAACAAATACAACTTAAACCCAATTCGGACCTCAAAGACATTCTGCTTAAAGATGCCATTTATAATGCAGCTGGCCTGGCCGCTTTACATTTATTTAATGAAGTTGATTTTAATGGCTGGTTTAGCGGACAACTCTTGGATGAGCTTAAAATTGAGGCGGCAAACTTTCGTATATTAAGAAGACGGATTATTTGGCTGTTGGGTGAATGGGCGGGTGTAAAATTCGCTCGTAATCTCCGTCCATTGGCCTATGAAGCATGCCTACATCTACTCAGGCCCACTGAAGACATGTCGACTCGTTTGGCCTCTTCCTTCACTTTATCTATTTTACTAAATGACTTTGATTTTGATCCATTTCAATTCTCTCGTTTCCTGGAGCCATCCTTTAATGCTCTCTTTGTGTTTTTGCGCGAAGCCAAAGAATGCGATACCAAAATGAAAATATTAACAATAATGTCAACGCTAGTCGAAAAGATGAGCGACACCATTGAACCTCAGGCTGATAACCTAATTGCATACCTGCCGTTATTATGGAAAGAAAGTGAAGCTTATAATATGTTACGATGTGTCATTATATCTACGCTCGAACAAATGGTGAAAGCTATACGCGATATACCAGAAAAAATGCGACCATTCCTGCATAGTGTTATTGCATTGAGTACGGATGTTAAGGTGGATCGTGAACATAAAATAAGCAATGTGTTTGTAATTTATTTATTTTTTTTTTTCTTTTTTAGGAACCCTGTCACATATACCTCATCGAAGAAGGCCTTTCTTTATGGCTGGCGGTTGTAGAAAATTCCACCACCATGTCTAATGCTTTAATTGAATTGTGCCGCAATATTGTACCCATAATGGAGTCGTCCTCGGAAAATTTGCGCACTGTTTTAATTTTAACAGAAGCTTATATATTACTAGATGCCCATGTTTTTCTGGAACGTTATGGGAGAGCGTTTATTGAAATTTGCGTCAACATGTTTGACGATATACGTGCAGAAGGTGTTGTTCTTATGGTGAAAGTGCTCGAAGTCTGTTTAAAATCGGACGCTAATATCGGCCTGGATGTGATTAAACCTACGCTGCCCTATATATTTCGTCAAGTTTACCTAAATAAAGACTTCCCAATGTTAATGGGCATGTATTTGACCATAGTTGCGCGAGTATTACTCATAAGCCAACAAGTGTTCATGGATGTTATACGAGAGGTACAAAGTCCAAACGCTCTCGAAATTATACTCGATGTATGGATAACAAAAATGCCATTAATAACGGAAGTGGAAAAGCGAAAATTATTTTCATTGGCATTTCTTTCAATATTTTCGAATAGTCCTATGTTATTGGAAAGGTTCCCAGCCATTATGCAAAACATTAGCGATACGTTGTTTGAAATAATGTGCGAAGATGACAACGAATGGGAAGTTAATAAACAAATTGATTTAAACAAAACCACCACCGGTACAACGACTGCGGAGACGACAGCACAAAATAAACCTATAAAATATTGTGATTCTTTGGTGTTTGTCGATGCGTACGATGTCGATACGAGTAATTGCTCCGGGGATTTCGATTATAAAACCTATCATTATGCTCGTTATCGTCAGCTATCACTCAAAGATCCAGTGCACAAAATATCCCTGCCTCAATACATGGAATGGCAATTAAATACGCTGCGCTCACAATTGGGAGAAGAGGCCTACCAGAAATTAATGCGTTCCGTTTACTCAGCTGTGTTGGAACGTTTAAGTAAATTTGTTCCTTTGCAATTAATTTTCCCATAAATTGAAGACACAACCCAAAAACCCTTAAAAAAAAAAAAAAAAAACAACAAAATCGAGAGTTAGAGAATGATGTTAATTAGTCATGCATCATTTACATAAGTTTCTAAATGAGATGTGATTTCTTTCTAAGGTCCTGTGATCAATTGTAAATGTCACAGAACTTAACATTAATCCATACATATACATACGTACATACGCATACAAATAAACATACACACACACACATCTATATAAACGGACGCGCACGTACATACATACGTGCACACACAAACATTTCACACAATTCTATACACTTTATCTATATCTAAGGTTGCTGCGTCAGTTACTAGAAAAGAAAAACTTGAAATTTTGTAAAATTTCGCTCTTTTTTTATTCTGATTCTAATTCTTTTTTTTTATACCAGCGCATGCTATTCTAAGGATTTTTTTTTTTTTTTTTTTTTTTTTTTTTTTTGAATTATAGTAATCAGTTTTGTCCTTTAACTGTAAGTTTTTTAAGTTTTGCTTTTGTGTTTTTTAATATACCCTTACAACATTCTGAACGCACCTGCAACGCAGTTGGGCGTATAAAACAGGAAATGAAATATTCTGCAACACAATTGTTTTGTTAAAAAAAGTAATATGAACAAAGAAAATTTATTATAAAATTTAAACACTAACAATAAATAAATAATAAAAACTACAAAAGAAAATAATAATAATAAAATAAAATGAAATAAAAATTGTTTATAATTTTGTTCATTTGCAAATATCCCTTTGCTCAAACAGCGCGCAGATCGTGTACAATTAATTGTACAATCAAACAAACGAAATTAAGCATGTCCTAGAAGTACTAAGAGTAAGCAAATATCAAAAGAGCGATAGGCTTAAAGAAGTAAATATGAATTAATAAATACCAAGAATCGCTTTTACCCAACACAAGTAGACAAGTAGACGGGGGATTGGACGAAAGTGAGAATGTAATTACATATGCAAGGTTTAAAGGCAATCCTTATCTTTGGCCATTTGTAAATTGATGTAGAAACGGCAACCGATATTGGTAACCTTTTATGTAATTTGGTTTTATTTCTATGAAAAAAAGAGAGAGAAATTCTGAGTTGATTTGGCCGTGTCAGTCCGTTTGTGTGTTGTGTATTGTTGGTCCGCTGCTGGTCGTAAAAATGAACATATCGACTTCAAATTTAGTACAAACATCAAAAGTTTCTGCAGGCACGTTGGTATAGAAAATGGGCCAAATTGGTCAGAGCAGAAGCACGCAGTGGAGCGTAAACTGAACGCAACGCCGCTTCTTGTAGGAAAAACTTTTGGATTTTTACTTGTTACTTGGAAATTACCAACCAAAGTTACAATTGATTAAATTTTCTTCTACGCACTTTTTTGAGATTTCATGCTTATTTATCCTAAGGGAAACAAAACAAAATGTTTAAACCTCTTCTGCCTTAAATGGGTTAATTCCAAAAATGAATGCGGCAGACACCGCGAACTGTTTCTTAATTTTCATCAAAAATTACAGATAATCTATTTTTTTTTTTTTCCTATCTTCTAGTTATTGGAAACTCGTATTATTGGGAATAAAACAAAGCCAAAAGCAAAAATTATTTGACAAAAACACATGTCCGGTTTATTGAAATCGTGTTGTATGGAAATCATGTCATCAAGTACCGCTTTAAGTGGCAGACGCATGTATGCATATATGCGTGTATATATATATGTTTTTGTATATGCATTTATATATAAGAATATCGAAATTTCTTCATACTCTCTATACTAATTCGAGTAGATTGCTAGATAAATTCCAATTGTGTGCTAATACCATAGGATCGTTAGTTTGAATAGAAGAGAAAACGCCAAACAACGTTTTCTTTCTTGCTTTGAGCTTTAGACTTGCCTTGGATTAACCTAGTCAAGCTTACATGTCCAGAGATTCTCCTTAATTTGTATAACTCCTTTAATTATACGCGAAAAGGTTCCATTGTGATGTGTTTTCGTCCAAATTTCAATGATATTACATGACTCTCGCTTTAATGTACTTTTCTTTAATTTTATATCTCAATTCTATTCCTTTTTCTCATGTTCTTGGAAATATTTCGCAAAGATTAAATTTACCAAATAAACTTTAATGCAATATTTCCGCGCCTATGCATGTAAACAATTTAAGCTGCCATGACAATAACAAGTAAAACTATACTCAGGTTTATAGTTAAATGTGTATAAAATTTGATAAACAAAATTCTGACACAACGCATATAACTGAGTAAATAAAAACAAATATTCGAAGAAATTTTACATTAAAATTTTCAGGAGAAATTTAAAATTTATGAAATCAATGACTGCAACGCAATCGAGACATCAATTTATTATCACTGATTTGGATCAATCGGACACTCAAGAAATGGGGGCAGCAGCAACAGCAACAACATCGGCGGGCCTTGGCAATGAAAAACAATGCAAAACGCATAAAAGACGCATAAAGGACAAAACGTTACACACGTTGTCGGGCAACTTTAGTCGAAGGTCGCAAAGTGTTGAATGTTGTGTTCAAGAACGTTTGGCAGGCAAGCCGCCACAAAGGACCTCAAAAGTGACGAATTATTTCAATGAGCTGGTAAGGGAACTTGGAATTCTTAATAAAATTTAAATTTATTTTCATTTTCCTTTCAGCTGCAATCGAAGGATCAACAAATGGAAAAACTATTAGAACGTTTAGCTATTTTGCATAAATTCAATGAACAGTTCGCCGATGAAAATCAACGTCTCCTAAATGAAGCCAAATTATTGCAACAGCAGATTGCTTCGTTGCAACGACAAATCGCCGAATGTGAACGTTGCCGTAGTCTAGAGAATGATTTATTAAAAAAGGCTGAGGACAATAAACAATTAACTGCCGATGTCGAGATGATGAAAACTTTAACATTTCGTTTAAATGTACAAATCGAATACTATCAGGATATGATCAGGCGGAAAAAGCTTAACGAAGAAGGTGCAAAGTCTTCCAATGTTTCCCCCCATCAAGCCAAATCGAACGTACCGGAGTGGCCGGAAGGTCAAGTTCGTGGACATACCTTAGATCCTTTATTAAAAGCATACGATGAGATGTTGCGCGATAAAGAAGAATTAATCAAACAATACTCGGAGGAATTCGAACAATTTGCAGGAGATTTTAAGCGAATATTGGAAGAAAACGACCGACTGCAACAGCAAACCGAAACACTTCGACGGGATGGAGGCAATTGGCGCGAGGAGAAGACATGTTTACAGGCTCAGTTGGATGTGTGCCGGCAAAAGGCTGAGGTGCAAACTAAAAAAACCGAATTGACAAAAGAGAAGCTAGTCGAGGTTATGCATACCTATGAGCAAAAAATCCAAACATTGCTCTTGGATATGCAACACATGCAATCGGCGTATACGCGTTGTAAGGGCGAACTGGCCGCATTGAAAAGTGCCGCTGCTATCCCGCAAGATACCATAGCTAACTCTTTAAAAGAATGCAAGGAGCTATTGGAACAATTAAGGAATCAACACAGCAAGGAGAAGATGACACTGGAACAGACAATAGTCGAATTAAATGAACATGCCACGGAAACTGTTCGAAAATTGGAACAATTGAAATCGGAAAATGCGACACTTACGAGCAAATTCAGCGACTTAGAGGCGCAAGCGGAAGAGCAAAAGAAACGTTGTACGCAATTGCAGAAGGAAAGCGAGAAATTGAAGCGTTCGCGTGACAGCCTTAAGGCTCGATTACGAATTGCCCTGCAGTGGACTCATAAACTTGAAGCAGGTCAGACAAATCTCCAGCATACTTGGGATGCCTTAAAGCGCCTTGAAACTATGGTCAGGCATAAGGAATCTCAAGTGCGGGGTCTGCATACCAGGCATTTAGAGGAAATCGATAAAATGGAAAAGAAATTGGCTCAAAGGGAAGAAACCATACGTAACATATTACGTGACCGGCTTACTATTAAAACAAAATCGTAACATTAAAGGAAAATTGAAAATTTTTTACTTTAATAAATAGTTGGACTTTTTAAAGCAACATTTTTGCAACGGAAGAAGACATAGGAAGAAGCTTTCAAAGTTTGTTGCGACTAAAGTTTTCTTTTTCTAATCTCTTTAAAAATTTGGGAGAAAAGCTTTACGCTTTCCAGCCGGTTGAAAGTGTTCATTTATTTCCATGAAATAATTAGTTTGCCACTCAATGCGAAAAGCAGTTTATTCAAACAGTTTAACAACGGCTGCGTTAAGTGCCGTCAGCGGTCAGTCAGTCTTTGTTACGCCGCTGATTTGTGTCATCGAACAAAATATAAAACAACGATAAGAGCTGTTGAGGTAAAGCAAAAAAGTAGCATTTTTAAGGACTGACAGATTTTTTTTTTTTTTTTTTTTTTTGTTGCTTCTTAAAGCTCACACTCCAAACTTGAAGGTTTTAAATGCATATATATATATATATATTTTGCCATTTCGTATGTAAAATGCTAAGGTAATCGAAGCAAAGCTGGTTAAGCATGAAGTTTAAAATTTCTTTTCGCAAATGAGGGAAAGCCCTCTATTTTCCGAGTACAATGAGCCCGATATTTCCCATAAAAAATAGCTTGGGTTTATTTTTTTCTCAGTCTAGAAGTAAAAGAAAAAAATTGCTTTGAGATGAGTGCCAAAGGTAAATGTGATCAAGTATCAATTTCCGATTGTCATTATTGCGACGAGATACAAAATTTGTATCTCTGTTTGTGTTGATGGTACACGTATATGAAATATTTTTTTATACCCACTATCGAATAACGGAGGCGCATTCACTTTGTAGCAAAACGCTTGCAGCATCCAGAAAGAGGCACAAGAGACTCCATAAAGTATATATTTTCTAGATCTGAATGGTTCTAGACATGTCTGTTAATCCGTCTGTGTTTAACATTTTCCTGGCTATTGCCTTTAGATTTGGTAGAAAAATTGAAGCTCTTTCACCCTGAATGATGTTGAAAGTAGGTCAAGTGGTCGAAGGATACGCTCGGAGTGTAACGTATGCTGAGACTATCTACATCTATTAAAAGAAAACGAAAAATTAAAAACTTGTACGCACATTCTATGGATAATCCTACGGCACTTGTAGAAAAACGGAAACGATTTAATTATTTTATTAAAACTTTTGCAGCACACAGGAGAAAATTTCATACGCCATAAGAACTACATCTGTCTCTGGGAATTTATATCACAAACATTCTTCGAATTGCAAAAATTAGGATATCGCCTTCAAATTTTGCAACGCCCACAGTGAAACATAAACAAAGGACATCTCTCTGAATATGTAAATTTTTGCTGATTAATCCAACCTTAAGCGATAAAAATTTCTATACCTAATCTATGGGTAATCCTTTAGTGTGTGGACAAAAATGGATAAGATCGGCCAGGCCCTTATATCTGACACCAGCTCATAGTACAATAACAGCGAGAAATATTTCGGAAGATTAGTTTCATAGGTATCGACTAGGATACCTAAGCGAAGAAAACAAACAAAAGCACAATAAAGGTGCAGGATACACCACTAAACACCTTACATCACCCTTGTTGCAGTTATATGGGAAGCAATCGAGGAAACGGTTTGATGAGAGCCATTTCCTATAATGTTCGTCGTAGGACCAAAACACATTAAATTTCATCAAAATATCTCAAAAATTATGGCCTGTAGACTGAACGTAAGAAATTAAGATGGACAGACTGTTAGCTGAACAGACAAGCAGAAACTGATTCTGAATCGATCGGCATACTGAAAGATAGATCCATTTCAAGTCCGCATAAACTTAATGTACCATTGTACCGCAAGTGGTGTAAGGCGTAAGAACTCGACGCGATAATGAACAAAATGTTTCAATTGCTTTTGTTTTTGGGGGCGAGTCCTAAGAAATTTCCTATCGATGATTTTAAAAAATGCTCATACACGTTTACTATATATTATTAGTTATAGCTCTAGTGATGGCGCTAGTAGGGAGGTTTATCAAAAAAATTGAATTCGTTCGTACTGAGTTTCCCATAATTTTGCTACTCATTTATAGGACACCATATACACCGAGGCAATGGCGTCGAGGCGCCTAGACATCTGACTGCTCATTCAACTGCATGCATGAAGTCAATGCCTAGGGAACGCTTCATCGATTACCAGCGCATATGAAACATTCCATATGCTGCTGTGATAACGATTGTTTTATTTTCAAAAAGTACGCGTTTACATATAGTTTCTGCTGCTTAAGGTCACAGATAACAACTAATTGTTTGTATGTCATTATTAAAAATTATTTATTTTACAATATTTACAAATTTACTTATAAATATTTGATGTTTGGCCAAATCATCACCACGTCGCAATTACATGCACACAGACGAAGCCAATGTTTGGGTAACCGAATATTCTTTTTCATGGAGAGTCGATTAAGTTATTCGGATGACTTATTGTGCAAATTGTCCCTGACACCGACTAATCTTGCAGTCTATTATCGCAAATATGAAAGGATGTCCATCTTTCGGTAACAGACTAGCCATAGAGAAAGCAAGTAGCATATCGGGGGAGTCTTTCCCTTCTATTATAGTAGGCATTCTAATATTGTAGTCTTCGGATTACAGCAAAATTTGTAAGTGTGTGGAAGTTTGTTGTGTCAATTTTTTTCTCCTCCTCTATGGCCACGACGCTTCGTGAACTATACAGGTTTGGAGGCAGTGGTACTAACTGTCTGACTTTTACATTGTACTGCAAACGCATGCTTAACTCAAAGAAAGCTAAGATAGGTTTTGCCAAAAAATCGTATTATTTACTCAAGAATGTGATGGCTAGGGTTTTTTTTTTGACCGGATTTTGAAAGCAATGAAAGAGTAGTCAGTAAGTGCCCCAAGTTTATCGTGCTTTGTATTAAGCACCTTGCAATCCCAATTTTTAATTCGCACTGTCAATGGAGTCAATCGTGATGTAAGTATTCTTGACCAAGTTTCTCACATCAAAGCTGTAAACGGTTGCGTGGGGCAAGACTACAAAAATGCCTAAAAACAAAATAAAAAATTTCAAATAATTGTTTTTGTGAATAATACGTGGCCTAGGACAGATTCTAATGTAAAATGTGTGACAAATAGTTAGAGAGGTTATTCAAACAGTTCAAACCGGCCAACTGACATTTTCAAAAAGAACGGGCAAGTATCTGTTAATATGTAGTCTCGCAAGGTATATTGAAAATTAAACCCAAGGTTAATTATTCTCACTTCTGTTGCAGAAAAACTATTTTATCATTTGTAGGAATCAAAGTGTCGGGAGAGCCTTTTTTACCTTTCGTTGTTTTGCCTCCAAAAAACTGACTGCGTCGCTTTTGTTTGGAATGCCTAGCATTGTCAAAGTTAATTTTGCCTCGAGGTTTGAAAGAAAAAGCAGAGAGATTTTTTTTTCAATTAAGATTCATAGCAATTAATTTTCAGTATTTCGAATTCAATGTGAAAACACCGCTTGCCGAAGCATCATTACAATAACAGTTAGCGCGAAGATATCCAATTCTCTTAGGTTTACTCGAAATGAGACTCGTTTGCAATAGGTATGTATTTTTTCCCCTTTAACTAACAATAAGGATGATATGCTATGTTAGTCGCATTGCGAGAAAGCACAGCATGTCCGTCCATCTAGACATTTTTCGCAATATGTGACCATTTGAATGTTCACGATATGTGCGGGCATGATGGTGGTTAACTCTAATCACAATACGTGTATTTATAGCTAATTGTAGCACGATGCGATCATCAGTCATTTATGCGAACCAAGGAAATAGTTAAAAATATCATTGTTTTTGTTTACAGTTTAAGCTCATTTATTTATCCAAACAGCTATATATAAACACAAAGTATTATACACTGGTCATCATATATATATATATTTTTTTTTAGAAATGCAATATGAAATGATCGAAGAATGCAAGTTGAAGGTTTAAAAGTGACTGAAAGACGTACTCTGGGCCGATTACGGCTAACACATATTGTAATGACGAAGGGTAGAGTTTGTATTCAAATTAAAGCCTTTTACTTTTTATATTCAATAAAAATATTGCAAAAAATGTTAATGTAATTGGAAATGATTGTAAAAACTTGATCCAATTGGGATACTACTTCTTATCGTTCTTCACACTTTTCTTACCTTTTCAGTTATAGGATATTTACAAAAGAAAAAGAAAAACTAAAAATCTTCTCAAACCTTTTATTAAAGAACTAAACAGCAAACCTTTCAGTGGAACTATTTTTATTATATCTAACTCAAAACAAAAAAGCCACAACTTACTCAAAAGTAAATGTTTTCGACAATAACTGTTGACATTTGCATTGTTCTTATGGTTGACTTATTTGACACAGAGGCGGCCACAATGGTGCCCTCTAGCTTAGAAAGCCTGCGAAGCGATATTTAGATGTCAGGCATTTAAATGTCTATACCTTGGATGCATTGAATAGAAGAAGACGAAGAAATTTTTGAAATAAGAGCAAATAATAAAATGATGTTCGATTATCGCGGTTTCTTTTATACCATTTTCATGCTCAGGAACAAGTAAAATGGGTATAGAGGGCGCGGCCCACCATAAAACATCCCATAGAACCCTAAATTTATTTATTTCAAAATAAGACCTTATATGGGAAATGGTCGAAAAAGTGATCTGATCCGAAGTATTTTCAATAGTATTTGTCTTTGGGCCAAACTGTGCCAGTGTAGCAAATTTTATCAAAATGGCTTTCAAATTGCGTCCTGAACGCAAGAGACAACACGGCTTACACGGCTTAAAAGTTCGAAAGATCGAAAACAATGGTTGGAAGACTTATTGGAGGAAAATCCATTTCAAACCCTCAAAGAACTTTCGAACGGCTTAGCAGTTCATGAATCAATTGTCTCTAGATGTTTACATGCAACACGAACATGATTTCCAAAATAAGTAAAAATTAGTTACCATATGAATTGACTGACGAGAGAGAGGAAC